TTTAGCAGCAAATAAGAAACAAAATTTCCCTANCTTCATTTAATGTTTACTTGTTGCTATAAATCAGGTTCGCAGAAAATGCTGTTTCCTAGTTAAATTCAGTAGGAATAACACGACCTGTGACGTAGGCTATAGTATACCCAATTGTTATAAACTATGAGAATAGTTATAAAAAAAACTTAATTCTTTATTCTTGAATTTAGTTACTCATATTTTGATTTGAAATTACTTATGACATTTTATAAATGCATATTCTTTCATATTTTATGCAATACTATATTGTTATTGAAAAAAAAATTATATTAAATTTTTCCACTTTTTTCATTTGCATTTTATATTGTATAAAGAAGTTAATGTGAAAAAAGCGAAGTATTAAATTATTGATTAAATATAATATAAATATTATTATTACTGGTTAAAAATATCCTAACTCTTGGAACTCCTGCCATCCTTCTACGGAACTCTAGGGTTCCTCGGAACACTTTTTGGGAACTTCTGCGCCATCGCAACTCTAACAAATATAGTACATTGGAAAAAAAATTTACTGGACGTCAGTAACATAACTTCTTTAATACTTATGTCATAAATTACTTTAAAACGTCTAAGTAATTTTAAACTTCAGTGAATGTTAGTGCCAATTATTTTAAGGAGATAGCAATATAATTAATATTTAATGGAAAATGAAACAAATATTGTGGATTTCAGAGTAAGTTTCAACCGTATATTGCCATATTATCGTATATTGCCATTTACGATTTATAACCGTTTTATTGCCATGTATCATAAATTATTTAACGTCAATCAGCTTTACCTGAACTGAATTGGAGATTGATCGTTCTTTGGTTCAGATCAAAATTACTATCTGTGGTTGTATGAACGGGTTCGTCTTTTAGAACAGGCTGTGGCATGTGTTCCTGAAGAGGGCGTAAGTTCGATCCCCGTCGGCCGAAGACTCCCCTTGTAGTAAATGATGACTGATGCACGTTAAATCTGTCGAGTCACAAAGTCCTCCATATTTACATAACAAATCATACCTCTGGGGGTACGGATCCAGGAGTTTCCTTGGTGTTACTACATAAATGAATAATTTAAGGAAGATTTAGAAAAAAAAATCTTAGCTTTTTGGTCAGAAATCAGCTAAAAAATTGTCTAATGCCTAGAAATTTTGAGACATTTTCTACTAACCATTAATAAATAATACTCTCCGAGCAATCACAGAACATTATTTAAATTTTTTTAATAGTCTGAACTTGGTTACTTAGCAACGGAGTAAAATTAAGTATTTCTCTCTTGAATTTATCTGTGGGTTATCTTAAAATAGAAGATTCATTTGCGGCGGCGACTTAGCTTGGCTGCTTTTTGGGACTATCTTTGAATATATCTGTTACGCTTCGAAAGCATAAACATAGTAGGTTCGTAGTGTGACCGGTGCTTCTTGAAAAAGATACAGGAAAATGCAGGAATCATAATGTAATTTTTTTAAAGTAAGGGGCAGAGCCCCAGAATGACAACCTTACATGCTGGTGGATAGGTAGAGAATAGCACATTTGACCTTGGAAAGAGGGTTTTTATATCTTTCTGGACAAAATATTTAAATATTAATAGGTCTCAGTAGCGTAGGACTGATCAATTTCCCAAGCTACTAAAGCCACATCATATTTTTTGAGATAATTAGATCAATATTATTACTTTCGTGTGGGAAAGGTTTTACACTTTTGCGCTTTAGATACAAACACTATTAATGGATTAGATTTAAAATATAATTCATATTGTGTAATGTTAAAAGATCGCAATTTGATCTTGATCTCTGAAGTCCCGCAGTGGACTGATCGTTAAGACACGGTTCCCAGAAGATCACCGAAGTCAAGCATCACTGGCTGCGGTCAGTGTGCGGGTGGGAGACCACTTGGATCAGTCTCCGTAGGGACCGAGGGTGTGCGATATGGATCCTCGTTAAACTGTTCTACCGTAAAGTGCTCGACTTCGCGTGCAGTGCATCCCCTCCGCAGAGGATCAAAATAGTGCTGGCTTGTCTTCGGATCATCTTCAGGGGTGTTTCCTAGACCGTCGCTAATAGCCCATTGGGCAGCTCTAGTGTGACGTAAATTAACTACAACAACTTGATCTCTGAAACCTTATCAACATTTCATATACAAATAACACATAGCGATTCGTATCAACACTATTTGCATTAAAGTAATTTAAAAATCTCACTTCGCGATTCATATTCACGTGGTTTAATAATTAAACATCACAATTCGTATTTACGCGATTTAAAGAAAAAATATCGGGATTCTTATTCTCACGAAATTTTAAGTCTCACATTGTGATTTGCATGTATGTGATTTTAAAATACACATCGTGATTGGTCTTCACGCTTTTTAAAACCACACAAACATATCTCAGCTCGTATTCTGCCGTGCAATAGGGAAATTAACGTTAGCGAAAAACAATTAAATATATATATATTATTAAATATATAAAACAATTATATATATATATATATATATATATATGACATTCTTGCGCGACTTATTGCAAATATTTTTTTTTTTTTTCATAAGTAAATTTTGTTTTATCAGTTTTTTGAAATTCTGTTTTAGCGTTCGTAACATAAGCGTAGAAAGAAAATTGTTGTGATGTCACAAAAGCACTAACGTTTTTTTTTTTTTTTTTTTTTTTTTTTTTTTTTTTTTTTTTTTTTTTTTTTNTTTTTTTTTTTTTTTTTTAAATAAATACAGGACTGTATTTACCTGATCATCAATTAGCATGTTGTATTCACGTGGTTTTAAAATCAAACATTGCATTTATTATTTGTGTCGCGTGAGAACTAGCAATAATATTACGGAAAAAACTCGAAAAAAGTTTTGCATCTAGCCTACTTATAATTCAAGACACATATCTTCTATCTATATCTATACATAATAATAAACGCGGCTGTGTGTGTGTCTGTAATCACAATATATCACCCCAGAAGCCTCGCCCAGGCACGAAACTCGTCACATAATTGTGTTTTGACATAATGAAGAAGTATTTTTTTTCTTTTTCAAAAATTTGGATTAGTTTTTTAGTTATCAGTCATTTTGTAAGAAAATCTATGCTTTTTCTTCTTCAAAGAGCCATATTCAGAAAACTATTAAAAAATGCATATACTTTTCTCCACTCTTATAAACGTATGCTAATGCGAACCTTACAATTGAAATATTAATTTTCGACAACTTAAACCAATAATATACGAAGGAATTAATAATTTAATTGTAAGGTTCGC